TGCTTAGATTACTTTACTTTAAAATGAAGGACTGAATTGTTTCCCACTTAAGTAGGATCGTGTAAACGCATAAGTTTCTGAATGGAACTTCGTTGAAGAGAGGCAGTTGCCCATGTGAGTAGTGCTCCTACAACGATCGTTTTAGGGCAAAGAGAAGTAAATTGTGCGCATTAGTTGTTCGCATTTGAAGAAATGAAGAAAAAGATATCAACAAATTGAAAGCGTTATGCTTTCAGGAGCACCTGAGCATTCAGTTGTATCGGATAATCAAAAAATAACTGTAGCTTCATGTAATTGACGCGAGGGAGGGCATGAGGAGGGGCCTCGTGATACGCTCGCAGCGTCCTGTGCTTTCCCTTAGGACTGTTGTGTATTAGTTTTTCTTAGTAAAGCAGTGGCTTTACTAAGAAAAACTAATACAAAACTAATACTTTGTATGTTTTCTGTCTTTACATGCTTCCACACAACCAAAGATAAGCAATAGACTGATGCGATAGAACAAAAATGAACGTAGGAGTTACTGACAGAAGCCTCACAAAAATACAAAACTGGGTTGCAGGGCATACCTCAATGGTTTTATACAACCAAAGTGGACATGCCACCCAAATTAGTCAGTCGTGCGATACGTTCAATTACGACTTTGCTGCGCCACAAGTTCATCGCTTGAAAGAAGTGATTTCATGCAATTTTTCGCTATCGGATTTAGGCAAAATCATGTCCTACCTGACGTAGTATTTTTGTAATCGTAAGTGCAATGGGAACTCAGGGGGTTGCTATTATCATCACTCTAAATCCCTCTTGTACAGTTTTTCATTACTTTTCTCAACTGCCAAGAAAAAAAAAACTAAGTTGGTAATTATCTTGCTCCCAACGTCTATTGTTTAGCTATACTCTATTACTACTATAAAAGAGCAATCCGCTCTGAGTACTTCTATTCAAAACCATTTAGGAACGAAAAATAATGTTTTATGTAGTAAGAAACACTTCAGTCGTGACAAAAACAGGTTTGTTCGGATTGACTAACTCATTAAAATTTTGAGATCTCAAAAAAGATTTCTTTTTGGTCTACCATTAAATTTGGTTTATACAAGTAAGAAGATTTGCAAA